GAAGTCTACAGCCAGCTTCTGAAATGATTAAGCTTATTAAAATGAGATTAGCAGGTTATGTCATTTTGAATGGATCATGGAAAAATAGCAGGAGAGCCTTTGCATGCAAAGTAATCTTAGGAAAGATGACTGAACAGGTCAGATTTTTCCTTGCTACATTCTTTCCGCCCACTCCCCCTACTTGGGCTTGCTCCCCTGGGCTGTTTCTCTTGGCATTCCGTGTCTTCATCTCGTTGAGACCCACTGCAGAGTCCCACAGCTGTGCCCCAGAGCCTTGTTATTCCAAGTGTGGTCCTCCGACCAGGAACATCGCCTGGGAGCTTGTTAGCATTGCAGAGTCTCAGACTCCACCCACACCTCAAGAATTAGAATCTTCTGCTAACAGGATTTTTCAAGAGACTTCTAGGCACGTAAAAGTATAAAAAATACTGTTTTTGATTACTAGGGCTCAATAGATAAGTGGCAGGAAGCTTCTCAGATTAACACTCCACTGTTAATTGCTAGCTGATGCCATGTGTACAAGTTTCCATGTGGTTTTCTGGACCCAAGCCGCTGACAATCTATGTATTGAATTCCAAAAAAACAAAACAAAACAAAACAAAAAAAAACCCACACTTTTAAAGGAAACACAAAAATGTGATTTGAATTTGATTTTCAGATATCTATTTTACCTTTTAAACACTGTAGGAGGAAAAGATACTTTCCAAATGCCCTGACAATTACCTTGTATACAGTTAAGATTTGAAATAAAATTTCCTCTTCTTTCCCTGTTTAAAAAGTATCCGTAAAGTACAAAGTGATCTAATATAAGCAGATAAATCTGGTACCATTTGTGATTTCTTATATCTGTGAGTCTCCATTTTCTCAATGCTTTGCAATTAAAATCAAATACAGAAATAAAATAGATGCTATGGATAAAATAAAACTGCAGTGTCTTCTGTAACTGCGGATTCAATTGTTGCATCCAACCAGCCTCCATGTTTATGCTGATTCATTTTATGTGAAGTAAGGGTTATACATTCAAGCTTTCAAAATAGCTTTTGTTTGTGCTATGTATTAGGGTGCAAGCAAATTTCATTTGGAAAAAATGCATGCATTTGGAAAACCATGACAGAAGAATGATTCTAGCTGAAGGATTCTCAGCTGCCCAGACTCACTGCAGCCAAAGTTAATTGGATGCATCATTTCTTCTGGATCCGTTGATCATAGCAAATTGACACCTGCCAACTATTCCCTTGTGTGATCCAAATCTGGTCAAGTCTGTCTCGAGTGGAAGCTGTCAAGTCATTTTGATTCATTTTTTATGTGAATTAAACTTTCAAGCTAGGACGTGCATGATACAAATTATGTATTCCCCATGCCCTACAAAAGAATTAGTTTATTAGAGCAAAAGTCTGGATTTAAGGCTAAAATCAGATAAAATTGATCTATATTTCTTATCATGCGAAAGATACTTGCTCTGAATTACTTCAGTGGTTGGCAGCCTCACTTTCCAGCATTCCATTCATACAGTCCTTCAGTCTTTCTGTCAGTGGGTGTTTACGGAGTGTGTGCTGGGCTCATAGCTATGCAAAGAATCCTAAGATAAAAATGACTGCTTTCAGGGTTCAGGAGTCTCAGTTTAGAAGAGACAGATTCCTCAATAAATGTTTACTGAACATTGTGATAGCATAATGGACATATGCAAATGGTTCTGTGATAACACAGGAGAATAAATAATCATAAAGGGTTAGCCAGGTTAATTTGTATTTTGCTTGGTAACTGGTTCTAAACTTTAAAACAACATGGTGATAAGATATTAAAGTTTAAAATTATATTTGAATTAATTCAATATGGAATATGTCCCACCATTAAGAATTAGAAGACCAATAATCTGCCTAAGGAGGCTTTCAGGTTTGTGTTTTTTTTTTTTTTTTTTTTTTTTTTTTTTTTTTTGACAGAGTGGACAGTGTGAGAGAGAGACAGAGAGAAAGGTTTTCCTTTGCTGTTGGTTCACCCTCCAATGGCCGCCACTGCTGGCGCGCTGCGGCCAGCGCACTGCGCTGATCCAAAGGCAGGAGCCAGGTGCTTCTCCTGGTCTCCCATGGGGTGCAGGGCCCAAGCACTTGGGCCATCCTCCACTGCACTCCCTGGCCACAGCAGAGAGCTGGCCTGGAAGAGGGGCAACCGGGACAGAATCTGGAGCCCTGACAGGGACTAGAACCTGGTGTGCCGGCGCCGCAAGGTGGAGGATTAACCTATTGAGCCACGGCACCGGCCGGCTTTCAGTTTTAAAAATATAAATGATAAGAAACAAACATTAAAAATGAAATATTCCAATCTCATTTAAAGAAAAAAAGTCACTACTAAAGAAATTCTAAAACGGAATTTCAGAAGTGTTCCATTGTTCTTGCTGGATGGTTACACACTGCTCATGTGTGTGTGAGTTCATGGTAATCTTTATATAACAGAGATGTGGACTTACTGTTTTGTGCATTATTTAGAGCACATTTAGATTCCAACCTGGTTTTCCTTTGCTACTTGGTACACTTTTGTACTACTCCCCCTGAATTAATTGATATAATGAGCTGATGTAAATTACTTTCACTATTTGGCTGAGCCACTATTAAGCATAATAATTTAGAAAGTAAATATACCACACAAAGCATATACCTACTGAATTCCAAAATTTAGCATCGAGGATGTTTCAGTTGATGTGATTTCAGCTTCTCCAGCCCATTATTTCCTACCGTGATCTGCAGAATCAGACCTGCTTGGTATGAATTCCTTCTGCTATGGCCCTTCCCTGCAGCCTGGCTATTGGAATCGACTCTAAGACCCCTGGACCATCTCTGCTCACTCTTCTGCCTCCTTGTCCCTGCCTTCTTCATTGGCTGTCCTAGAAAGTTCCATCAGAGTTTGCAACAGGAAACTATCAGGGATTACGATAAAGGAGTTCCCTTCAGTGTGGCTCTCTGTCATGCCATTGCTTTGACTTGCTATTATGTATTCAGCTGTTTAATCTGAGACTGTAAAAACTGTCTCTTTTAAGGCCCAGGTGAAGTGTTATCAACTTTATTAAGTGCTATATGCTCTTCCCATAGCTACTCCGTTACTCAAGTGTCTGTAGCATTTCTTTCCTTTTTCATGACTCATCAAATTCTTCCTTACACTGCATGTTGCATGGTTCTCATTTCCCAACCCTGACTCCACATGGTTTATAAAGTATTTGGAGAACTATATTTGTAGCCTTGATAATACCAATTTTAAATTCTATGAAATATAAATGGCATTTAAATGTAGAGAGAATATCTCACCCCCGTGATAAATCCAAGATCATGCTTGTGTTAATATTGTAATTTCTCCCAATAGTGCTCTTTCTCTCATTTTCTTCTCTTATAAACCAATCTGTTCACTGACACTCAGTGGAGATGTTTTTATTAGGGCTCAGAATCCATACACCCTTCCCGTGAAACTCTGTGTTAATTTTTCCTTGCATTGTACCATCTTTCATTCCCACCTTCCCTTGTGGTTCTGAACTCAGTGAGAGATCCACTCTGATATACTACACATTGTTCAAAGGCTGTGAATATGATCTTATTCATCTTCCATTTTCCATCATGCTTTTTATGTAGCACATTCTCAATAAAAATTGAGCAAGTGTTGACTCGAGTTTTCTAAAGACTTGTGGAAAAACAAAAAACGTGCATGGAACCATCAGACCCATACTAAACTCAGCTGTACTTTACTACAAGTGGTTGTAGGCATGGCCAAGAGCAAATAAAAACAGGCTGGAGAAAACTATCTCTGTGGCCAGTTCTATCAGATGTTGGAACAAGATACTACCAGGAAATTATGATTAAGGAGGTCATTCAGTGTGGCTCTCTGTAATGCCTTAGCCTCTGGCTCACGTAAGTATTTAGCTGTTTGAGAGGACTTTATTATTTTGGCATATTTCCTATTAAAATCCAGACACCCTCGGTTAATGCTAACAGGTAACTGTATCTTTGTAATCTGTGAACATCTTAACAAAGCTTAGAAAGAATCAGATTATAAGGATGTTGGAGAGCAGAAATTATGGGTGGGGTCAAGAGATGGGAGCAGGAGAAAGGAAAGAAAATGAGCCATAGAACTGGAGTGTTCGAGAACACATTTATCGTCACTATTGCAGCATGCAGTCAGGCTACGAATTGTGCCCTGACGTTGGGGCTCAGATCTCTCAGTTCCCACGCATCAGGCCTATTTTCTGCCTCTTAAATACCTGCTTCAAGAACATTATCTCCAACCTTTGAAACTATTTGCAACAAAGGTGTAATGATATAAATGATCTCATTTTTCAAATGAGAAAATTGAAGTTCAGAAAGTCTGAATTGAGTAGTCACAGTTGGCTGTCTAATAAGCAGAAAGACATGGATTTGACCACAATCTTCCTATTTCTTTGTCTATATTATGTTTTCTACTTCTTTAAATAGGCAATTGTAATTATCCAGCTGGGTATAGGGCAGAGGTGTTTGAAAGCTTAAAAATCCTTTTTATTTTTAATCAGATTAGTGTATTTTCATTGCTACTGTCATGACATCATTTCAAAAACACTTAAATTGTTGTGAAAAACTCACTGCTAGCACTCTAGCTGGATACTGGCCTTGATAAAGCATATAATACAACAGGGAACAAGAAGGTTTTCCTCCATCTCTCAACTAGAAATAATTTAGCAAGTGTCTTTGTCTTTGGGTAAAAGAAAACAAAATGAACCTATGATATGCAAATGAATCCTTCAACTGTTTGTTACTGTCTACTGTTTACTCAAAAATGGAAAGCACCAGGCCTGCGATACATCATCTTTTGTGTGCTTGGCACCTTCCATCATGAATCATATTAATCTGCTTAAACTAACAAGGATTAATTGCCTTGGTAAGGAAACCTGGCATTGAAATGATATATTGCCCAACAGCTTGGAATTTGGCCACTCATAAATCTCATTTGTTTGTTGGTTTATTTCTGTTTGTCTCTTTCTCTGACAGATGTGTGCCCAATCACTGTGAGCATGGTGGCAAGTGCTCGCAAACGTGGGACAGCTTCAAATGCACTTGTGATGAGACAGGGTACAGCGGGGCCACCTGCCACAACTGTGAGTGCCGATTTATCTCACTTTAATCTTGTAATTGCATGAGAATCCCAGGTCTTCCGCTATGCTTTTAAGCTCAGTAACCTGAGTCGTCTCTTAGTATATCACCTGGTTCTGATGAACACAGATTCCATTGTCATGTCTACAAAAAATTGCACTCTGGTTGTCAAAATATATTCTCTCATGCCTAATGGCTCAAAATGAAGGACTAACATGTCCAGCATTTCCTAAGTGTGTAGTTGGGATTGGAACATGGAGCTTGGACCCTGCCTCCCTGTTTAAGCCTTGTCTGTCTGGATAGATTGTTTGGGGAATTGCATTAGTGTGTTGTTTCAGACTAGTTCCTCATTTATCAATTCATCAAAGAGAGAGAGGGAGACTATAATTTGATCATTTAGTTTCTGGACAGTGGCTGCATCATGCTTTTGCCCAACTATTTGGCAAAAATTTTTTAGACCAGTAAAATGAGTCAGAAAGTAGATGAAGTCTACTAAAGTTGTATATCTAAAATGAAAACATAAGAAGGCAAAGCTTTAAAAATATTTAAGTTAAATCTAACATGCAGAAATGACTAGGAAAACACAGATGTACCTTGATTTATGCACTAGCTTTATCACACAAGGTTTAATTAAAAATTACTTTTTTAATTCTAATTTTTCTAATTCTAATTTTTTAAGTGAATGCTAACACTAGAGTTGTGATACTAATTTTTCTGTAGTGCATTGCCATTTACAAGGCATTTTTGAAAATGCATTTGCCACAAAACACATAGGAGAGGTGAGAGGTTCATCTACTGTGTAGTGTGTATGCATGTGTAGGGGGGGGAAAACAGGGAGGAAAAGGGAGAGAAAAGGAGACAGGTTAAACCTGCTCTTACCATGCTAAAAATCTGAAACTAATACACAAGCCCTCTAGTTGTGCAGATTTATTTTCTTCAATTTGCTTTCTGGAATCAATGAGAAGCAAACTATTCTCAGAGTAGAATAGCAAAAATGAAGATTACAAAAATGCAGTGTATTTCTTACATGGCCGTATGTAATACATACAATTAGAAATCATTTTTAGAATATACTGTAAGACTTTGAGTAAGAAAAAAATTTAGCTTATTGCACTTTTAATTCATTTACGAAGATATTTTAGAACAAGAGAAAAAGGAACTCTGGTAAAACTAATGTGACTGGGAAGACAGTCAAAGCAGACACTTAATAGATCCATTATCTGTAAAATCTTTGCATATAGAAGCATATTTTAATGAATGAAGGACAAAAATGATTGATAATGAAATTAATTTAAAAAAAGGATGACTAAAATTGCTCTTTGCCAATCATGCTAAAAGACTAACTTTCAGCACATTATATTCATTATAAAAATATGTTCAAATTAAATAACTGATAAAACTAGGCAGCTTCATTCCACAGTATAATTTGTATCATGTGCTATAAATACTGTGTATAATTACAAAGGCTATTGTTTCTGAAATACAGAAAAACGACTAAAGGTACAGCACCAACAAATTGGTGGTGGTAAAAAGGTTCTCCTAATTCAGTGGATATTTTGATAATGAATTGAAAAGTAATTCCTTTTGGTATCTACTTCCGTCATTAAATGCATAGCAAAGAGATGTATAGAGTTTGAAGATACATGCTACCGGTTGAATGGCTGAGTTTTTGTTTGTTTGTTTTTCCCAAGAGTAACGACTTCTAGTGTTAGAACAGTCCTAAATGTGCTTAAGTGTGGCTCTAGTGGCCAGCTGTAAATGTAAAAGAGAAAAATTATCTCTTACCTGGTGCTTCTTCCTACATATTACTTGTTCTACTTCTACATCTATAAAAGAAGCATCAGTATTTTTAACAATGAAAGCCTGATCACTTGTTGTCTTCTGCATATGAAGCCAAAATCCTGCATATCAAGTGTGTGTATAAATAGAGGGTAAAAGAATGCATTGCATAATTCAAGAATGGGTTGATTAGACACTATTTTGTTTTGCGAACTGTACCTTTTAGCTTCTTGAAGTGCATTTGCTTCCTAACACCCTAAAAGATTTGATATATCTCTTAATGCTCCCATGGATTAATTAACATTGGGAGGATCTAGTACAACATAAAGCATAGTGTAAGGGATATAATGCAAAGGTACTTTAAAAACCTTCTAGAAACATAATTAAAAGGAATTTATTAATACAAAGAGTTTCCCTTTACACCTCACCTCATCTGCCCTATTAGCATATCATATTAGTATCTTTGTTACAATTAGTGGTGCCCCCACAATTTGAAATCCATAGTAGTTTTTTTAGTAATATGCATTCCGTGAACTTTGGAGAAACTCCTTGTATGTGCTGTGGAGTTAAACACAGATTGAACACTCTTGACTGCATTTGTGGCAGGAGCAGGCCAGGACAAAGCCTCTGGCTTCTGATACTGGCTGAGAACATCACACTGTGTGTCTGGAGTCACTCTGCTGGCTGTTGAAGTCCCTGGGGTTCTACCAGCCAATGTATTGAGATTTGCATTTGCTTATTCAGGGTTTCGTGGTTTTGAACCCTGTCTGTATTACTACATGTTTTACCTCATGATTTCCTACAGACGACTAAGCACTTGTTTAGAAAAGAAATTATGCTAATTTTAAATAATGCTATTTTAAAAATTAAGAGCTAACTGAAATGTAAAGTTAATGTAACTTGGAGATATGCTAGCATAACTAGGCATTCAGCGTCTATCCTACAGACTTACTTCCATCCTATATTAGAGTGCCTGGTTTGGGTCCCGGCTCTGGTTCCCGCTTCCAGCTTCCTGCTAATGTGGATTCTGGGAGGCAGTGGTGATGACTCAAGGGATGGGGTTCCTGCCAGCCACCTGGGACACTGGAATGTGTTTTTGACTCTCAGCTTCAACCCAACCTAGGTTTGGCCATTGCAGGCATTTGGGGGTGAACCAGTAGATGAGAGATCTCTCTCTCCCTCAACCCCTCTCTTCCGCTTAAATTAAAAGAAAGATAATGAAGTCTAGTGTAAATATACATTTGACAGAGCTCCAAACATCACAGTAAGACTATAGTGTATGTTAACACGTTTTCTGTATTGCTTCAAGCTTCATTAGGATGAAATAGCAATTCCACAAGTGATTGAGATCCACCAGGAGACACCCTTTAGTTCAGAACAGGACACAAGCTAGATTACACTGCCTAGCTTTGAACTTGATTCTACCCCTTACTTACTTGTACCCTTGGACATGTAAACTCCTTGAGCTTCAATTTTTTCCTGTGTGAAAAGGATATAAGATACTCATCTCATAAACCATTATTAGATAAACAGGTAAATGAAATGATGAGAGGAGCTTTAATAAATGTAGGACTCAATACATTTTTGCATTGCATCCCTTTCAGAACAATTGTCTCTTAACTCAGAACTTCTATACCAATAATTATCTGCATCCCAGTTTGTCAGTTAATGTCATACTTCCACACATTGTTTGCTGTCATTTGCATGGCAGATTTGAGGTTGAAGTAAATGATTGGTGTCTATAAAATTTCTTCTAAGAATTGAAGGAGCCAGCACTGTGGCTTAGCAGGTAAAGCCATCGCCTGCAGTACTGACATCCCATATGGGCACTGGTTCGAATCCCAGCTGCTCCACTTCCTATCCAGCTTCCTGGTATGGCCTGGGAAAGCAGTAAAAGATGGCCCAAGTGCTTCAGCCACTGTACCCACCATGGGAGACCTTGAAGAAGCTCCTGGATTCTTATCAGCCAAGTTCCAGCCATTGCAGCCATCTGGAAAGTGAACCAGTAGATGAAAGACATATTCATTCATTCTCCCTCTCTCCCTCTCTCTCCCTTTCTCCCTCTCTCTGCCTCTGCAACACTGCCTTTACATAAATAGATAGATCTTCAGAAAAGAAAAGAATTGAAGAGCAATACAAATAACCCTGTCTCTTAAAGCTGCTCCTATTAGATTGTGAGTTTATAATTGGGGCCTTACTTTAAAATAACTTGCCCAGGGCTAGAGGATTGTCATCTAGAAACTCCTCTGCTAAGGACCAGGATGTTCTCCTTCGGGCGAGGAAATCCTTTAAGGATAGCAGGAGGACAGATATGGTTACAACTCAGGAAAGGGATAGGCAGTTTTGGTTGCCCAAAACAAAAGTGACAAATTTGAAGCAAAATGCAAATACATTATATTGTTGCAGTTTTATACTTTTTTTTTAAAAAAAAGATTTTATTTATTTGAGAAGTAGAGTTCCAGAGAAAGGGAGAGCCAGAGATCCTACATCTACTGCTTCATTCCCCAAATGACCACAACAGCCAGAGCTGGTCCCATCCGAAGCCAGGAACCAGGAATGCAGGTGCAGGGGCCCCAGCACTTGGACCTCTTCCACTGCTTTCCCAGGCCATAGTGGAGAGCTGGATTGGAAGTGGAGCAGCCGGGACACAAACTGGGACCCATATGCGTTGCAGATACTGAGGGCAGGGGCTTAGCTTATTAAGCCATGGTGCTGGCCCCAGTTTTATGCTTCTTAAATTTCCCCATGCAGGTATTCCATTCTCAATGAATGTCTAAGAACTTAATAGTAACCTTATGTGAAGGTCAGATCATGACAAAGCGACTAAAAAGTTCATGTGGAATAGTGTGTGTGTTTGGTACATTGACTTAACCAGCTTTGCATTCCCAAGAGTGTAGGATGGACCCCTGTTGTAAGCAAAGCTTCGTATTCTACCTGCAGTCTTTCCTACCAGTGCTACGTAGATACTTTTCAGTTGGTCTCCAAGCATATTTTCCAATATTTGAAATGCTCTTTAAGATCAAATTATCAATTTTTTACATGTTTTCATTTGAATTTACAATTACAACTTTATAAAATTATAAATGTATCCCTTACCTCAGGGCTTAGATTTTTTTTTTTCTGAAAAGATATGTTTATTTACTTGAAAGACATAGTGACAAAGTGAAGGGGAGAGACAGACAAGGATCTTCCATCTGCTAAATGACTTCCCAAATAGCTACAACAG